TAGAGACGAGAAGTAGAACATGGTGGATCTGCTTCCATGGTGGGAATCTTAGAATTTTTATGGAGACCAGAAGTAGAACATGGTGAATTACTTCCATTGGTGGAAATCAGGATTGGGAATTTTATTGGAGACCAGAAGTAGAACATGGTGGATATAAGCAGGATTTTTGAAGTTTTTATGGAGACCAGAAGTAGAAAATGGTGAATCTGCTTCCAAGGTAGGAATCATGAGATTGATAAGATTTTACGGAGACCAGAAGAACATGGTGGATTTGCTTCCATGGTGGAAATGAGCAGGATTGAGGAGTTTTTATGGAGACCAGAAGAAGAATATGGTGGATCTGCTTCCATGGTGAAAATCAGCAGGACTGGTAAGATTTTACGGGGCCCAGAAGAAAAACCTAGTGGTTCTGCTGCCATGGTGAAAATCAGTGGGATTGGTGAGATTTTATGGAGACCGGAAGAAGAACATAGTGGATCTGCATCCATGGTGGAAAACCATAGGATTGGGGAGAAGACCAGAAGAACATGGTGGATTTGCATCCATGGTGGAAAACCATAGGATTGGGGAGAAGACCAGAAGAACATGGTGGATTTGCTTCCATGGTGGAAAATGAGCAGGATTGAGGAATTTTTACAGAGAACAGAAGAAGAATATGGTGAATCTGCTTCCATGGTGAAAATCAGCAAGATTGGTAAGATTTTATGGGGACCAGAAGAACATAGTGGATCTGCTTCCATGGTGAAAATCAGTGGGATTGGTGAGATTTTATGGAGACCGGAAGAAGAACATAGTGGATCTGCATCCATGGTGGAAAAACCATAGCATTGGGGAGAAGACCAGAAGAACATGGTGGATCTGCTTCCATGGTGGAAAACCACAGGATTGGGGAGGAGACTAGAAGAACATGGTGGATCTGCTTCCACGGTGGAAAACCATAGCATTGGGGAGGAGACCAGAAGAACACTGTGGATCTGCTTCCGTGGTGGGAATCAGAGGGAATGGGGTGTTTGTAAAGGCGCCCAGTGACCTAAACAATAGCAGTAGCTCCCAGTGCTCTTTCCGTTCAGTCTATTCAAGGTTTTCAGAGACAGAGGCTATGCTGGTGGCTCTGACCTGATAGTTTTTTTTGGACAAAATTTACTAGAAATGGGTCTGGAAAGTGCTCTACGTGGAAGGTGCTGACCAATGAGAGCATTAATAATACTCACTCCATGTGTGTACTGTGGCGTACGCCCGCTATGTGCAGCAGGGTCTGGAGGTGTGGCCGTAGTATTTGGAGTTAGTTCACCTTTTCTTTATTGAAATGACCCTCTAATAGTCGTACAGATCCCCCGAACTGCATGTGTGGCCGGGTTGGGAGGGGTAGCCAGATTTGGAATTAGTTCACCTTTCCATTTTTCCCAGTGAACATTTAAAGGTCAATAAACCGATCATAAACAGAAATGAGCACATACCCATCCCCCTACAGTTTGTTTAACAGAGGTGTTCTTCCCAGTTCTTCTCATTGGATGGGGGACTTGGGGGCGGGACTGGAATAGTGGCCACGTTCTAAGCAACTGCAACTTTAAATCATCTGTGAACACAACAGGTCCGAGTCGCCGATCTCTGACAGCACATTCACTAATCTATGAGACTTGATGGGGTGGGGGTCAACTAATATAACTGATCACTTGGGGGGGGGGGGGGCACTGATATAAGGGGTCACCCTGAGGGGGTCAAATGAGATTATGTGAGAGGCAATATTAGGGGTCACCCTGAGGGGGGGTCAACTGATGTAAGGGGTCACTCTGAGGGGGGTCAACTGATAATATGAGAGAGGCAACTAATAACAGGGGTCACCCTGAGGGGGGTCAACTGATGTTAGGGTTCACTCTTACAAGGTCAACTGATGTAAGGGGTCACTCTGCGGGAGGGGTCAACTGATGTAAGGGGTCACTGAGGGGGGTCAACTGATATTAAGGGTCACCCTGAGGGGGACAATGATGTAGGCGGTCACCCTGAGGGGGGTCAACTGATATTAGGAGGGGGGGGCAACTAATATTAGGGATCACCCTGATGTGGCCAACTGATATTAGGGGTCACCCTGAGGGGGGAAACGATGTAGTGAGTCACTCTGGGGGGGGGGGGGGGAATTGACATAAGGGGTCGCTGAGGGGGGGGGGGTCAACTGATGTAAGAGGGCACTTGGGGGGGGGGGGGGTAATGGGGACTCCCACATGTGGGGGGGGGGTCTGGCCATGGGACCCCCGATGTGAGGGGGAACTCTGGCCAAGACCCCCGATGTGAGGGGGAACTCTGGCCAAGACCCCCGATGTGAGGGGGAACTCTGGCCAAACCCCCGATGGCTCTGGCCAAGACCCCCGATGTGAGGGGGAACTCTGGCCAAGACCCCCGATGTGAGGGGGAACTCTGGCCAAGACCCCCGATGTGAGGGGGAACTCTGGCCAAGACCCCCGATGTGAGGGGGAAACTCTGGCCAAGACCCCCGATGTGAGGGGGAACTCTGGCCAAGACCCCCGATGTGAAGGGGAACTCTGGCCAAGACCCCCGATGTGAGGGGGAACTCTGGCCAAGACCCCCGATGTGAGGGGGAACTCTGGCCAAGACCCCCGATGTGAGGGGGAACTCTGGCCAAGACCCCCGATGTGAGGGGGAACTCTGGCCAAGACCCCCGATGTGAGGGGGAACTCTGGCCAAGACCCCCGATGTGAGGGGAACTCTGGCCAAGACCCCCGATGTGTGGGGGAACTCTGGCCAAGACCCCGATGTGAGGGGGAACTCTGATAGGACCCCATAAGGGGGCACAGGTTGCCTCTTTAATCATCATATGTAATGGCAGGAACACATGGTCCCCCGTATACCCCCGATTTACGGTCTGGCCAGACATGATTTCCAGGTTGTGACTCTTGGTACCAGAAGCGTGCTGGGTGAACGGGGAATGCTGGTTCCCTCCATCTCTGACACACGGTTGACATTATGCCACATGACTTTTTTTTTTTTTACTGACCAGATAAATTAGATCCGGCCTAGGAACACAGAACTATAAAAGCCAATAGTAAGACAGCAAATAGCTATTGTAGGGGGAGAAGGTTGGGGGGGGGGGGGGAGAGAAAACAGGCAACTCCTAGCAGAGACCCCAGGGATGCAACCTGACCACACCAGCACTGATCCACTTCCATGCTTGGCGTAGTCAGATTCCAACAGGAAGCAAGGGGCACTGACAGGCTCACCAGGGATGCAAAACTGACCACGCCAGCACTGATCCACTTCCATGCTTGGCGTAATCAGATTCCAACAGGAAGCAAGGGGCACTGACAGGCTCACCAGGGATGCAAACTGACCACGCCAGCACTGATCCACTTCCATGCTTGGCGTAGTCAGATTCCAACAGGAAGCAACGGGCACTGAAGGGATCACCAGGGATGCAAACTGACCACGCCAGCACTGATCCACTTCCATGCTTGGCGTAATCAGATTCCAAAAGGAAGCAAGGGGCACTGACAGGCTCACCAGGGATGCAAACTGACCACGCCAGCACTGATCCACTTCCATGCTTGGCGTAGTCAGATTCCAACAGGAAGCAACGGGCACTGAAGGGATCACCAGGGATGCAAACTGACCACGCCAGCACTGATCCACTTCCATGCTTGGCGTAGTCAGATTCCAACAGGAAGCAAGGGCACTGAAGGGATCACCAGGGATGCAAACTGACCACGCCAGCACTGATCCACTTCCATGCTTGGCGTAGTCAGATTCCAACAGGAAGCAAGGGGCACTGACAGGCTCACCAGGGATGCAAACTGACCACGCCAGCACTGATCCACTTCCATGCTTGGCGTAGTCAGATTCCAACAGGAAGCAAGGGGCACTGACAGGATCACCAGGTATTCATAAGCAAATTAATTAGATAAAGAACACATCAGATTTATCATAACCAACACAAAGAAAAAAAAAAAAAAAAAAAAAACAACATCAGACATATAAATAATTTTTGGGGTAACAATTTAAGGGCTCCTCGGCGCACCCAATGTAAAATGATACAAGTGTGGACAATGCAGCTCTGATGTTATACAGGTACACTTTTCCATCGTACAGACAGACCAATCACGGCAGCAGGTTCACCTTACCACTGAGTGACATCATACCTTGGAGCGAAACGTCGGATGGACGAAATACAGAGCCTTCAAATTCTTTTTGTACCTGTAAAAAAGAAAATAGCAAGATTTTACAGAAAAAAAAAAAGAAAAACAAAAAAACTAAACTTTTACCAGATGATTTACGATAAGAATATACCGAATTATTACAGAAAATTTGTTTACTTTAAAATGTAACAAAATGTATTTTATATCATCAAAAATGTAACATTGTCTATTACTTGAACACACAGCACCACCTACAGGGAGGAGCAGGAACTGCAGACCACATTACAGGGCACGAAAAGTGCAATTCCATCCTAAAAGACGTATATATACCCATTGTCAGCCCGCTCCGGTCCAGTCACATGATCCCAAGGGTAAGCCAGTAACAGCTGCAGGGGGGAGGAGGAAGTCCCAACAGCGGCTGGGACATGGGAGCCTATGGCAAGTACCGTTCTCCTGGCAACCGCCAAACCCAGACATGTCCATTGGATTACCAGACAGAGAAGCGTGATTGGTCCCTCCAGAGAACAAACTCTTTCCACAAAGTTGGGAACATGAAATTGTCCAAAATGTCGCCTTAAGAGTTCCCTTCACTGGAACTAGGGGGCCAAGCCCAACCCCTGAAACACAACCCAACACCAGAATCCCCCCTCCACCAAACTTTACACATGGCACAATGCAGTCAGGCAAGTACCGTTCTCCTGGCAACCGCCAAACTCAGACACGTCCATCGGATTGCCAGACAGAGAAGCGTGACTGGTCACTCCAGAGAACACGTCTCCACTGCTCTAGAGTCCAGTGGCGGCGTGCTTTACACCACTGCATCCGACGCTTTGCATTGCACTTGGTGATGGAAGGCTTGGATGCAGCTGCTCGGCCATGGAAACCCATTCCATGAAGCTCTCTACGCACTGTTGTTGGGCTCATCTGAAGGCCACACCAAGTTTGGTCTTTAGCTATTGACTCTGCAGACAGTTGGCGACTTCTGCGCACTGTGCGCTTCAGCATGCGCTGACCCCGCCCTGTCATGTGACGTGGCCTACCACTTGGTGGCTGAGTGGCTGTTGTTCCCAGTGGCTTCCACTTTGTTATAATCCCACTAACAGTTGAGCGTGGAATATTTAGTAGCCAGGAAATGTCACGGATGGACTTATTGCCCAGGTGGCCACCTATCACGGGACCACGCTTGGAGTCACTGAGCTCCTGAGAGCGACCCATTCTTTCACCAATGTTTGTAGAAGCCGTCTGCATGCCTAGGGGCTTGATTGTATACACCTGTGTCCATGGAGGGGATTGGAACACCTAAATCACATGATATGGAGGGGACTGGAACACCTGAATCACATGATATGGAGGGGACTGGAACACCTGAATCACATGATATGGAGGGGATTGGAACACCTGAATCACATGATATGGAGGGGATTGGAACACCTGAATCACATGATATGGAGGGGATTGGAACACCTGAATCACATGATATGGAGGGGATTGGAACACCTGAATCACATGATATGGAGGGGATTGGAACACCTGAATCACATGATATGGAGGGGATTGGAACACCTGAATCACATGATATGGAGGGGATTGGAACACCTGAATCACATGATATGGAGGGGATTTGGAACACCTGAATCACATGATTTGGAGGGCGGGGACAATACTACATACACTATATTGTCCGAAGTACAGGTGAAACTCGAAAAATGAGAATCTGGTGCATTTGTTGATTGATTTCAGTGCAGCAGCAACTTAAAAGGTGACACTAATATATGAGACTCATTCCATGCAAAGCAAGATAGTTCAAGCCGTGATTTGTCATCATTGTGATGATTATGGCTTACAGCTCATGAAAACCCCAAATCCACAATCTCAGAAAATGAGAATATTCCATGCAATCAATAAAACACGGATTGTACATAGAACAATATCGCACCTCTGAAAAGTAGAAGCTGCATATGTACTCAGTACTTGGTTGGGGCCCCTTTTGCAGCAATTACTGCCTCAATGCGGCGTGGCATGGAAGCTATCAGCCTGTGGCACTGCTGAGGTGTTATGGAAGACCAGGATGCTTCAATAGCGGCCTTCAGCTCTTCTGCATTGTTCGGTCTCATGTCTCATCTTTCTCTTGGCAATGCCCCATAGATTCTCTATGGGGTTCAGGTCAGGTGAGTTTGCTGGCCAATCAAGCACAGTAATCCCACGGTCATTGAACCAGGTTTTGGTGCTTTTGGCAGTGTGGGCGGAGCCAAGTCCTGCTGGAAAATGAAGTCAGCGTCCCCATAAATCTCATCTGCGGAAGGAAGCATGAAGTGCTCCAAAATCTCCTGGTAGACGGCTGCGCTGACCCTGGACTTAATGAAGCACAGTGGAAGTCCTTGTGCCTCTCCATTCTTCCTCCATCCATACGGGGTCCTTGTGCCTCTCCATTCTTCCTCCATACTCGGGGTCCTTGGGCCTCTCCATTCTTCCTCCATACTCGGGGTCTTGTGCCTCTCCATACTCGGGGGTCCTTGTGCCCCTCCATTCTTCCTCCATACTCGGGTCCTTGTGCCCCTCCATTCTTCCTCCATACTCGGGGTCCTCGGGCCTCTCCATTCTTCCTCCATACTCGGGGTCCTTGGGCCTCTCCATTCTTCCTCCATACTCGGGGTCCTTGTGCCTCTCCATTCTTCCTCCATACTCGGGGGGCCTCCTTGTGCCCCTCCATCTTCCTCCATACTCGGGGTCCTCGGGCCTCTCCATTCTTCCTCCATACTCGGGGTCCTTGGGCCTCTCCATTCTTCCTCCATACTCGGGGTCCTTGGGCCTCTCCATTCTTCCTCCATACTCGGGGTCCTTGGGCCTCCTCCATTCTTCCTCCATACTCGGGGTCCTTGGGCCTCTCCATTCTTCCTCCATACTCGGGGTCCTTGGTTTCCAAATGAGATGCAAAAGTTGTTCTCATCAGAAAAGAGGACTTTGGACCACTGAGCAGCAGACCAGATCTGTTTTTCTTTAGCCCAGGTAAGACGCTTCTGACTTTGTTTGCTGTTCAGGAGCGGCTTGACATTAGAATACGACATTTGAAGCCCATGTCCAGGATCCGTCGGTGTGTGGTGGCTCTTGATGCACTGACTCCAGCCTCAGTCCACTCCTTGTGAAAGTCCCCAACACTTTTGAATGGCCTTTTCCTGACAATCCTCTCCAGGCTGCGGTCATCCCTGCTGCTTGTGCACCTTTTTCTTCCACACTTTTCCCTTCCACATAACTTTCTATTAATGTGCTTTGATACAGCACTTTGGGAACATCCAACTTCTTCTGCAATTACCTTTTGAGGCTTTCCCTCCTTATGGAGGGTGTCAGTGATGGTGTCAGGTCAGCAGTCTTTCCCATGATTGTGATTCCTACTGAACCAGACTGAGGGACCATTTAAAGGCTCAGGACCCCTTTGCAGGTGTTATGGCTGAATGAGCCGATTAGAGTGGGACACTTTGAGCCGAGATTATTCCACCTTTTCCCAATATTCTCATTTTCTGAGATTGTGGATTTGGGGTTTTCATGAGCTGTAAGCCATAATCATCACAATGATGACAAATCACGGCTGGAACTATCTTGCTTTGCATGGAATGAGTCTCATATATTAGTTTCACCTTTTAAGTTGCTGCACTGAAATAAATGAATGAATGCACCATATTCTCATTTTTCGAGTTTCACCTGCATGTCCAAAGAGGCAAAGTAGTTCAATCTTCCCTCCGGCCCCCCCCGTCAGTCTTCACAGTTGTCCAGGCTCCAGTCCTATACTGAAATTATTTACTTGATCCACCCAGACCGGCTAGTTGCTGAACATTCACTTACTTGGCATCGACCACATCGTAGAGGTTCTTGAGAAAGTCGGAGTCCAGGTGGTTGTGTTCTCCGGTCAGAGTGTGGAAATACACCAGGACATAGTCCTTGGCCGCCACGTGATCCATCATATGGATGAAATATAGGAGAGCCTGCAAAGGACACGTCACAAATGTAAAGTGTGACACTACGGGGGGCAACACCCAGAGAAATGCTGAGACAAAGTTACTACATGATAAAGCACAGAAATGTACAACTAATATATTACATCAGCAATTCCCAAATCTGATATAAGATGAACAACCTAAAACGGGTCAGCAGTCCCTAGAAAGCATTTTCATTGGAATGTTGCCATTGGCAGGTGCAGGAGTCGGGGCAGATCTGAGGTGTGCAGGGGTTGAGGGGGGATATCGGAGTCGCGGGGGAGGGGGGGATATCGGAGTCGCGGGGCGGGGGGGGGGATATCGGAGTCGCGGCGGAGGGGGGGATATCGGAGGTGCGCAGGAGTCGGGGGAGTCCCGGGTGGCAGGGGGGGGGGATCCCGGGTGCGCAGGCTCTGGGGGGGGATCCCGGGTGCGCAGGCTCTGGGGGGGGGATCCCGGGTGCGCAGGATCTGGGGGGGGATCCCGGGTGCGCAGGATCTGGGGGGGGATCCCGGGTGCGCAGGATCTGGGGGGGGATCCCGGGTGCGCAGGATCTGGGGGGGGATCCCGGGTGCGCAGGATCTGGGGGGGGATCCCGGGTGCGCAGGATCTGGGGGGGATCCCGGGTGCGCAGCTGGGGGGAGGGTGCGCAGGATCTGGGGGGATCCCGGGTGCGCAGGATCTGGGGGGATCCCGGGTGCGCAGGATCTGGGGGATCCCGGGTGCGCAGGATTTGGGGGATCCCGGGTGCGCAGGATTTGGGGGGATCTTAGTTGTTCATGTGGCTCCATGGTTTCCACCTCCACAGGACACTCCTAGTCCCCTCACAGGAGCCCGCAGGAACTCGGATTTATATCTGTATCGGTGATTTATTATCATTTTATCTCATCGCCGGCTGATCTGTGAAGGTATGAAAGGCAACGAGACGCACACAAAGCTGCATCTGACACACAACCAGAAACCGACTACAGGCGACCTTACCTTCTCCATGTCTATCACCAACACAGGAATATTCCTTCCCACCACCACAATCACCGTCCGTCCGCAGTTATCCACTCCTGAAAGAGAAGGAGATGGCGTCAGAAGAGCAGAGGGCGGGCGTCAGAAGAGCAGAGGGCGGGCGTCAGAAGAGCAGAGGGCGGGCGTCAGAAGAGCAGAGGCGGGCGTCAGAAGAGCAGAGGGCGTGGGTCAGAAGAGCAGCAGAGGCTCGTGGGTGTCAGAAGAGCAGAGGCTCGTGGGTCAGAAGAGCAGAGGCTCGTGGGTCAGAAGAGCAGAGGCTCGTGGGTCAGAAGAGCAGAGGCTCGTGGGTCAGAAGAGCAGAGGCTCGTGGGTCAGAAGAGCAGAGGCTCGTGGGTCAGAAGAGCAGAGGCTCGTGGGTCAGAAGAGCAGAGGCTCGTGGGTCAGAAGAGCAGAGGCTCGTGGGTCAGAAGAGCAGAGGCTCGTGGGTCAGAAGAGCAGAGGCTCGGGGTCAGAAGAGCAGAGGCTCGGGGTCAGAAGAGCAGAGGCTCGGGGTCAGAAGAGCAGAGGCTCGGGGTCAGAAGAGCAGAGGCTCGGGTCAGAAGAGCAGAGGCTCGGGGTCAGAAAGGCTCGGGGTCAGAAAAGCAGAGGCTCGGGGTCAGAAAAGCAGAGGCTCGGGGGTCAGAAAAGCAGAGGCTCGGGGTCAGAAGAGCAGAAGCCTCGGGTCAGAAGAGCAGAGGCTCGGGGTCAGAAAAGCAGAGGCTCGGGGGTCAGAAGAGCAGAGGGCGGGGGTCAGAAGAGCAGAGGGCGGGGTGTCAGAAGAGCATTGGGCGGGGGTCAGAAGAGCATTGGGCGGGGGGTCAGAAGAGCAGAGGGCGGGGGTCAGAAGAGCAGAGGCGGGGGGTCAGAAGAGCAGAGGGCGGGGGTCAGAAGAGCAGAGGGCGGGGGTCAGAAGAGCAGAGGGCGGGGGTCAGAAGAGCAGAGGCTCAGTGTCAGAAGTTTATTTTTATTATTTTTTACAATTTAAAATTTTTTTTTTTTACAATTTCTTTTAGCAGCCCTGTTGGGGGGGGGGGGGAGCTTTGGTGAAATATCGGGGGTCTAAACAGACTTCTGATGTCTCACTTTTTTTTTTTTTTTTACTCAAAAGAAGAAGGAGCATCAGCTGCACATAATGAGCAGGAGGAGCTCTGCATAGTCTCCCTGTTGATTCAGAAACTGAAGCATAGTCAAAAAACAGTTTACTATGCTTTAGTTATGAATAAACACAGTGAGCGATCGGTAACCCGGGCAAGACCCTGGACCCCGGACACCAGGCAGGACCCTGGACAGGTATTTCCTTCCTGCAGCAGCTGAGTGCCAGTGGGAGGATGAGGAGGAGAAACCGCTTTCAGCTGCTGCAGGAGCACAATACAGGAGGATCGGTTCCAATAAAAAACGCAGCCCCCGATCCTGTCCAGGTTTGGGGGACAGCAAGAAAGGGACAAAATCTACCAGTCACCT